GGTACTGGGATTGAGCCTTGCATCGGGCTCCCTGCTCAGTGGGAAGCCTGCTTCTCCCTCTCTCACTCCCCCTGCTTGTGGTCCCTCTCTCGCTGTGTCTCTCTCTGTCAGATAAATAAAATCTTAAAAAAATAAAAGGCCATAAAGCAGAAAGGCATGTGTGATACTGTTAATTTAAAATGTGGAGTCCACGCCACTGAGTAGCTGCTGACACGGTTGCCAGTTTATGTGTGAAAAACACTTTCCCCCTTTCCTTTACCTCCTTGTTGCTTAGGGTGAGGAGACACCATGATTTAAAGCCGGGGGGGGGGGGGTAGCGAGAGCAGGAAAGCCTCCCCAAGTCAGCAGGACCTGTCCTATATTCCCCTCCATTGTAAGGAACCCACTTTTGGCATCACAGGCAGACTGGGGAAGGAGCAACGGACACTCCCACACAAAGCCCCTGGGCAGCAGTGCCCCAAGGTCTTTTCTTTTCTCCACGACCGACCTGCTGTGAACTTAGAAAACCCAGCAGTGAAGGTCAGTGTGTTGGTGAGCGCATGGCCTGCTCTAAGTGAAGTGTGATAAAAAGGAATCACTACCATAATCAAAAGGAAAAAAAGAAAAGTGTCCTTTTTCCTGAAAACAAAACAAAAAACGGTAGAAGTATTCTACGCTTGGGAAACATTTAAAAACAAAAACGAAAAACCTCTCTGGCTAGGGATACCCTGAGTATGTCTTAAACCTCAGTACTATTCTTTTTTTTTTTTTTAATTTTTTTTTTTAGTACTATTCTTTTTTTCAAGATTTTATTTATTTGACAGAGCGAGTGAGCAGAGAGGGAGAAGCAAACTCCCCGCTGAGCAGGGAGCCCGACATGGGGCTCAATCCTACAACCTGAGCTGAAGGCGAATGCTCAACTGACTGAACCATTCAGGCAACCCTAAATCTCAGAACTATTTAGAACAAAAAAAAAATTCATGAACATAACTAAAATTCTGCTCTATAGTCCCTTGTTTACAGAAGAATGCCACCTAAGGCAGGAGGAATGGTAGATCGAGTAAAACACTCTTCCTCCCATTAACACACCAGTGTTTGCTTCAGGCAGTAAGACTCCTGGGGTACCTGGACAGGCAGATGAAAGACTGAGGAACAGAATAATCCTAAGGATTAGGGAAGGGGGAAGGTCCCTTTACAGTAGAAAACCCTAGCACGTACCATCCTAACGCAGTGATTAAATTTATCACCATCAGTGATGGACAAACTGAACACTGTTGCCTTTTGCTGGGATCTGCTGAAAAGGTCATAGCATCACCTAAATAATGTGTTTATCTGAGTCGGATCACGAGGAAACAATCAGACAAATCCGAATGTAAAGGCACAGTGTGGGACAGCTGGCCTAGATTCTGCCAAAAGTCAGATACCAGCAGAAACCAAAAGGCTGGGCTGATGCACACAGCTTAGTAGACGCTAACCGGACATCATGACGGCAGATGCAGTCCTTGGTTAGATCCTGAATTCAGGGAGCTTTAAAAAAATTGAAATGATTTTATCGGGTAACTGGGTAAGTGTGGGTGTGGACTGCCTAACAGTAGTGTCAAATTCATGTTGGGCTTCCTGACCAGGACCCGCATGGGTAGCGGTCAAGGATACACACACAGGGGTCACTAGGGTTAAGGTGTGATGTCTGCAACTAACTCAGAATCATTCAGTAAAGTATTTAGATTTCACATGTGTGTCTTTGTGTATGCATGTGTGTGTACGTGTGCAGGTTCCTAGATTAGAGAGAGACTTATAAAAGGGGAGGGAGTTAACAGTTGGTAAATCTCTTAGAACGTACAAGGTTACAATGTTGCCATTTTTCTCCAGCTCTGAATTTTTTTTTTTTAATAAAACAGGTAGGGAGAGATTTTCTAATGTATAAATTACTATAAATAAACTAGATTCAGGGCACCTGGGTGGCTCAGTCAGTTAAGTGTCTGCCTTTGGCGCAACTCATGATCCCAGGGTCCCGGGATTGTGTCCCACATTGGGCTCCTTGCTCAGCTCTCCCTTTGTTTCTCCCCCCAGCTCATGCTCTCTCTCTCTCTCTCTGAAATAAATAAAATCTTTTGTTTTTTTTTAAGATTTTTTTTTTTATTTATTTGAGAGAGATAGAGAATAAGAGAGAGCACGCATGAGAGGTCAGAGGGAGAAGCAGACTCCCCACCAAGCAGGGAGCCTTTTGTGGGATTCGATCCCGGGACTCCCGGGTCATGACCTGAGCCGAAGGCAGCCGCTTAACCAACTGAGCCACCTAGGCGCCCAACAAATAAAATCTTTTTATGAAAAGAAATAAACTAGGGATGTCTGGATGTCTGTTGGTTAAGCAACTGCTTTAGGCTCTGGTCATGATCCCAGGGTCCTGGGATCAAGCCCCACATCAGGCGCTCTGCTTGGCAGGGGGCATGCTTCTCCCTCTCCCTGACGTTCTGCCTACTTGTGCTGTCTATCTCTCTGTTGAATAAATAAATAAAATATTTAAATAAACAAACTCACAAAATGGGAGATAATATTTACAAAGTATGGGGCGCCTGGGTGGCTCAGTGGGTTAAGCCGCTGCCTTCAGCTCAGGTCATGATCCCAGGGTCCTGGGATCGAGTCCCGCATCGGGCTCTCTGCTCAGCAGGGAGCCTGCTTCCCTTCCTCTCTCTCTGCCTGCCTCTCTGCCTACTTGTGATCTCTGTCTGTCAAATAAATAAATAAAATCTTTAAAAAAAAAATATTTACAAAGTATGTGGTAAAGGACAGATTTCTTTACTCTGAAAACAGAAAGAAAAATAATAACAATCCAAAATATGTTTAAAAAAAAAAAAAGTAACAGGACAAACAGGCAGTTCACAACCAACATATATAGAAATGTTTAACCTCATAAGAGGAAGTGTGCAAATAAAAACCAAGGTTAGATATTTTTTTAACAGTCTGGCAGACCTCAAAAAGGTTCATAATAGGCCCTGGCAGGAGACACAAGGATGAGGCAATAGGCACTCATATGTTAATAGTGTGAGCATGAGTTGCTAAAACTTCTTTGGAGGGCAGTAGGGATTAAAATTTAAAATCCGTACCTCCCACATCAAGGAATTTATTCCGAGGATGCATCTGTATAGATGCACACAAAGACGTATGTGTAAGGATGTTTGCTGTAGAATTGTTTGTGATAGCAAAAGTTAGGTCGTTTAAATGTACACCAATGGGGGTCAGATAGAGGATTGAATAGGCAGGACAACAGCCATCCCGTGCACCTGGGCAAAGAATGCAGCAACCTCGGAAGTACCGTGTGGATAAAGCGCATCTCAGATACGCATTTTTAAGTGGAAGAAAGCCAAGATGCTAGGCACCTCGGTGGCTTGGTTAAGCATCGACTCTTGATTTTAGCTCAGGTCATAATCTCCTGCTCCGGAGATTAAGCCCCCGCATTGGGCTCCCCACTGAGCGGGGAGTCTGCTTCCCCTTTCCCTCCGCCTCTTACCCTGCTCACACACAGACTCACTCTCTCTAAAAATAAATAAATCTTAAAAAAAAAAGTGCTGAACAATTTATAATGTAACAAAAGAGGGGAAAATCTGGGTGCTAGTTACATGGTTGAGTTCACTTGGTGAAAATTCATCGAGCAGAACACTTAACGAGTCTTGTATTTTTCCATATATACAACATGTAAAGATCTTACCAAAAAATTCCAAAAAGGGAGGAGACTGTGGATACACCTATGCCTCTTTATACAGAAAGTGTTTCTGGAAGGATGCACAAGAAACTGTTGGGGCACCTGGGTGGCTCAGTGGGTTAAGCCTCTGCCTTCAGCTCAGGTCATGATCCCAGGGTCCTGGGATCAAGCCCCGCATTGGGCACTCTGCTCGGCAGGGAGCCTGCTTCCCCCTCTCTCTCTGCCTACCTCTCTGCCCGCTTGTGATCTCTATCTTTCAACTAAATAAAATCTTAAAAAAAAAAACAAAACCTGTTAACATGGGCTGCTGATGAGGAGAGGTGTTGAGGGATAGAGAGAGGACATCGGTTTTTCAGTTCTGTGTTTGTTTTTCTATGTAAATTACTATTAAAGAAGTTAAGGAATTTTCATGAAAATTTCCTTATACCTTTTAAAGATTTTTTTTTTGAGAGAGAGCAGAGGGAGAGGGAGAACTCCTTTTACAATCATCGTCCTGGGGCTTGATGCCAGGACCCCGGGATCACAACCTGAGCTGAAGGCAGACACTTAACCAACTGAACCACCCAGGTACCCCATTCTTACACCTTTTAAATGATAGCAAGGTACACATTTGTAGTAGAATGCCATCTTTATCTCTATCTATATAATATGTTTGAAAAAAAAGAATGGGAGGAAATGCAAAGTTAAATATTAGCAGATTTTCTTTTCTCTGTACATTTTCAAGTTTTCTTAAGATCACAGTATTTTTTCTGATAGATGAAAATAGGACTAAGGGATTGCTCTCTGTTATTATCCCCTTCCCTCTCACAAAATGTAGCAAATTTTACATATATGATTGTTCCATTACACATAAATCACAGTAGGCTTTATGAATATAAATGTGGCCCAGGCTAATCTATCCAGTAATATCAAACCAGCATCATTTTGCTGAAGGAACAATCCAGAGGGAAATGAAAAATGCTCAGCCCACTTGCCTGTGTTTCTGCTCCTCATAACTTGGTGCGGTCTTATTTCTAGCTGTTGTTTCCTGTAGCAGGGTGCCCAAGACTATTTCATTCAGGCAGTATTTCTTTTTATTTTATTTTATTTTATTTTATTTTATTTATTTGACAGAGAGACAGGGAGAGGGAATACAAGCAGGGAGGGTGGGAAAGGGGAGAGGCAAGCTTCCTGCTGTACAGGAGCTTTATGGGGAGATTGATCCCAGGACGCTGGGATCATGACCTGAGCCAAAGGCAGACGCTTAATGACTGAGCCACCCAGGCGCCCCTTCAGGCAGTATTTCATGATCCTCTTTGTGTTCCTTTTTTATATTTTTTAGAATAACCGCTCAAAGACTTGCCCACTTGAACAAGTGTTTGATGAACTTTAAGCTGGGGAATTTCAGCTATCAGAAAAACCCTCTGAAACTGGGAGAGCTTCAAGGGAATCACTTCACAGTTGTCCTCAGGTAAAGACCTGCAGGTAGGAGTGCAAACCAGAGAGGGTCCCCCTGGACCCCCTCACATCTGTTCGGAATAGTTATTAATCCAGGTGAGCTGGTTCTAGCAGGTGTGGCAGTGAGGGAAGGCCCAGCAGAGCCTCATAGGGCTGGAAGAGCAAATAGTGCTGGAGAATTGTACCAACACCCCCTCACCTCTCAAAACTCAGCACCTCCTTTGGAAAGGAGCCATGTGCTTCAGACACGGTATTAAGAGATGGAGAGCCTATGCTTCTGCTTATAGGCAGTAGCTAGGATGGGCAAATTCACAGACACAGAAAGTAGAAGGCGGGGAGTCTAAGATGGGGACTTGGAAGCTATTGTTTAGTGGGTCCAAAGTTTCAGTTTGGGAAGAGTGGGAAGTTCAGGAAGTAGATAGTGGGGAATGTTGCACAACATTGTCGGTGTACTTAAAAATGGCCAAAATGGTCAATTTAATGTTATATGTATTTCACCACCGTTTTTTAAAAAAAGCACAGAGTCCTCAGCAGGTGGAGAGAAAGCTGCAGGGGATAAGGGAAAGGCACAAAGCCAAGCCATATCATTGATGATAGGCATCCCTGAATGTGTTTGACTCCATTTTTTTCTCTGGGTAACTTGGGCCCTTGCAGAAATATAACAGGAACTGATGACCAAGTTCAGCAAGCTATGAACTCTCTCAAGGAGATTGGATTTATTAACTACTATGGGATGCAAAGATTTGGAACTACCGCTGTCCCCACATATCAGGTTGGAAGGTGCGTATTTAATTTCTTAACTTCTGTCTGAAAGAGCTCACTTGGAAAAAGAAGAAAGGTTTTTTTTTTTTTGTTGCTGTTGTTCTTAATCATTCATGTCTGGGCTGAGTGAACCAGTATGTCTCATCAGCTGATCTGTAGAATCCTTCTAATTTTTGTTGTGTTTTAAGATAATACAAATTGATATAAAAATAATAATAAAAAATTAAATCACTGTTGAAAAGGATATAATTTGGAAGGTAAGTTTTTCTCTCATCTGGGATAACTCATCTAGGAATTCTATTTTTAGTTGCTTTTTTACAGGTAAATCTTGGCTCAGTACAATAAGCTGTTGGGTAGCCTGACAAAGATGATACAGTTTGTGATCTCTTTTTACAAGTGCCTTCCAGTTTATTAAATTTTCATCTGCACTTTCCCCAACCTTAAAGAAAGTGGTGTAGGACGGAAATAGCGTGGTAAAGTTTATTTTAAGAACTCTGATTCACTTTCAGGCAATGGGGAATCCCTGTAGTGTAAGCTAGGGTGGAAATTCCATCAATAAATAATTGGACTCTTGATCTTGGGGGTCATTAGAGCTCCATGTTGGGTGTAGAGATCACTAAATAAATAAACTTAAAAAAAAAAACAAAAACTTTAAAAGGGACGCCTGGCTAGCTCAGTTGGAAGAACGTGCAACTCTTGATCCCTAGGTCGTGAGTTCAAGCTCCACATTTAGGTGTAGAGATTACTTAAATAAATTTTTTTTTCTAAGATTTTTTTTTTTTAAAAATTTTATTTATTTATTTTACAGAGATCACAAGTAGGCAGAGAGGCAGGCGGAAAGAGAGGGGGAAGCAGGTTCCCTGCCGAGCAGAGAGCCCTATGTAGGGCTCGATCCCAGGACCCTGGGATCATGACCTGAGGCGAGGCCAGAGTCCTAACCCACCGAGCCACCCAGGTGCCCCTAAGATTTTATTTTTTTGTTTGAGAGAGAGAGAGAGAGAGAGTGGGTGGAGGGGGTGGCAGAGGGAGAAGCAGACTTTCCACTGAGCAGGGAGCCCGATGCAGGACTCCATCCCAGGACCCTGGGATCATGACCTGAGCTGAAGTCAGAAGCTTTAACCCACTGAGCCACCCAGGCGCCCCAGGGAAAAGCAGTTTAGAACCACAGTGAGCTATCACTTCATATCCACTATGATAGCTAACATCACAAAGACAGACGATAGCAAGTGTTGGTGAGGATGTGGAGAGATTGGAACCCTCACGTGCTGCTGGTAGAAATGTAAACCCGTACAGCCATTTTGGATAAGAGCCTGGCTAGTCCCCAGAAGTTTCAGTCATACAACTTAGCTATTGCACTCCTAGGTGTATACTCAGGAATTGAAAACATGTTTACACAGAAATTTACACCAATGTTTATAGCAGCCAAAAATAATGGAAACAACCCAGATGTCCCATCAACTGATAAATGGATAAACAAAATGTGATGTATCCATACATCACATGGAATATTATTCAACAATGAAAGAGAATGGAGTACTGACTCCGACTACATGGATGGACCTTGAAAACATGCTAAGTGAAAGAAGCTAGTCACAAAAGGCAAGATATTGTAGGATTCATATATATGAAATATTCAGAATAGGCAAATACATAGAGACAGAAAGCTGATTAGTGGTTGCCTACGTTGGGGGAGGGGTAGCAGAGAGTGACTGCTGATGGGTGTAGGATTTCTTTTTGGGTGCTAAAAATGTTCCAGAATGATTGTGTAATGTAAACAATTCTGTGATTATACCAAAAGCATTGAATTGTGCACTTAAATAGATGAATTATATGGATATATGAATTATACCCCAGGAAAGCTGTTTTTATTATTTTTTTTAAGTGGAATAAATCCTTGCATATATGGTCAAATGATTTTTGACAAGGGTAATGAGACCAGGGGGGAGAGGACAGTCTTTTCAACAGATTATGTTGGGGAAATTGGATATACACATTAAAAAAAGTGAAGTTGGACCCTTAACACCATTACAAGTTGTCTCACACCATTCACAAAAATTAACTAAAAATAGATCCAAGACCTGAACCACTACAGTTATAAATTTAGGGGAAAACCTCATGACATTTGATTGCCAATTTCTTGGATCTAACAATAGATTGGGTTCCATAAAATTAAAAATATCTTTGTAGAAAGGACACTATCAACAGAATAAGAAAGCAGTCCACAGAATGGGAGAAAATATTTGCAGGTTATCTGTTGAGGGGTTAATGTCCAAAACATATAGAGTTCCTTACAACTCAACAATAACAAAACAACTTGATTAAAAATTGACAAAGAACTTGAATAGACCTTTCATAAAGAAGAAATGCAAATGACTCATAAACTAATAACGAAAAGATTACAATCAAGATTACCAATCATTAAGGAAATACAAATCAAAACCATAATGAGCTAATTTTTTATACCCATTAGACCATTATTAAAAAAAATAAATTGTTGGTGAAGATGTGGGAAAATGGGAACCCTTGTGCATTGCTGATGGGAATATAAAATGGGCCTGCTGCTATGGAAAATGATACAGTAATTCTTCACAACATCAAATGTAGAATCACCATATAATCCATAAATTCCATTTTTTATTATCTACCCAAAAGAATTGAACATGAACACTCAGCAAGTATTTACACACCCATGTTTTTAAGAGCAGTATTCACAGCAGCCAAAAGGTGGAAGCAATAGTGTCCATTCGAACAGGTGAATGGATCCAAGACATGTTAGATCGATACAATGGAGAATCTTCAGCTTTGACAGGAAAGAGACTCCAACACGTGCTACGACATGCATAGACCTTGAAGACTTTGATGCTAAATGAAATAAGCTGGGCACAAAAGGACAAAAACTGTGTAAATCCTCTTACCTGAGGTACCTCGAATAGTTAGATTCATACATGAAGTGGAGCAGTGGTTGCCAAGAGACAGGACTTATTTGATGTGTACAGAGTTTCAGTTGAGGAAGATGTGAAAGTTCTGGGGGCAGGTCGTCCTAATGGTTACAGTGTGAATGCACTCAGTGCCGTAGAACTTTACACTTTAAAAATGGCTAAAATTAAGAGTTTTATGTTTTGCGTTTTATATACAATTAAAAAAGGGGGGAGCTCCTGGGTGGCTCAGTGGGTTAAAGCCTCTGCCTTCGACTTGGGTCTTGATCTCAGGATCCCCTGCTCGGCGGGGAGCCTGCTTCCCCCTCTCTCTCTGCCTGCCTCTCTGCCTACTTGTGATCTCTGTCAAATAAATAAATAAATAATCTTTAAAAAAAAAAAAAAAAAAGGTTGGAAGAAAGAAAGGGTAACGTAAGTAGGAAACATCTTAATGTGTAGAGGACCAGATAGAATGGCCTCTTGTAAATGAAATCTGCACATATTTCATATGCCACTAGGTAGTGAACTTTCGTGTATGTGGCAGCATCTTAAGAAACTTGGTAGTAGGGGCGCCTGGGTGGCTCAGTGGGTTAAGCCGCTGCCTTCAGCTCAGGTCATGATCCCAGGTCCTGGGTTCGAGCCCCACATCGGGCTTTCTGCTCAGCAGGGAGCCTGCTTCCTCCTCTCTCTCTGCCTGTTTCTCTGCCTACTTGTGATTTCTCTCTGTCAAATAAATAAATAAAATCTTTAAAAAAAAAAAAAAAAAGAAACTTGGTAGTATACCATGCATTGGCAGACTTTTTCTGTGAAGGGCCAAGTAGTAAATGTCTTGGGCTTGGTGGGCCAAGGAGTGTTCATAGCAGGTGCTCAGCTCTGCTGTTAAAACAGTGTGGAAGGAGTCACATATGATGCGTCAGGGAGGAGCACAGGTGTTTTGCAAGAAACCTATTTACAAAATCAAGGGGCCAGCCAGGTCACAGGTTTTTGAACACAGACATCTTCTGTGCCACCTGACCGACCAGTGCCTCATCCTGAACTCATTCTCCGCTCTCTCTGGAGGTGTTGTGGATAGTCTAGCCAGTTGCATAATGTGGCATCCAGGAGAATATTGAAGGACTGATAGAGCATGGCTTCTTCCAGGACTGCTAGGATGGCCAGCAGTAGGAGTCTGTTACGTAATTAATCACATTAGTAGATAAAAAATCGATATGATCATATCATTGGATACCAAACAGCATTTTATACAGTTTAATATGCAAAAATATGCCATATAGGTTTCTTAAATATGAAAAATAAAAACCCCAATTAACTAAAAACAAAAATTAGTAGAAGGGATTTCGGTATCCTTTTGGTGGGGAAAGCCTTTCTTCTTTTAAAGATTTAGAGAGAGGGAAAAAGTGAGTAGGCGGGGTGCGTGGAAGAGGAGGAGAGAATCTCAAGCAGACTCCCCACTGAGCATGGAGCCTGACTTGGGGCTCCCTATGGAGCTCAACCCCACAGTCATGGGATCATGAGATCATGACTTGAGCCAAAACCAAGATTTGGGCACTTAACTGACCCAGGTGCCACTAGGGAAGGCCTTTCTAAGCATGACTCCCAACACCAGAAATCTTAACTGGAAGAATTTAGGTAAGACACCCAAAATAGAATTTTTGTATGGCAACATATAATGGAATAAAAGTTAAAGGAAAAATTGGATATGCTTACAGATTTATCAAAAACATCATGGAGGCACCTGGTTGGTTCAGTCAGTGGAGTGTGTGACTCTTAATCTTGGGGTTGTGAGTTCTACCCCCACATTGAGTATAGAGGTTACTTAAAAATAAAATCTTTAATGGGTCTTCTTGGTGGCTTAGTCAATTAAGCGTCTGCCTTTGGGTCAGGTTATGATCCCAGAGTCCTGGGATCAAGTCCCACGTGGGGCTCGCTGCTCAGTGGGGAATCTGCTTCTCCCTCTGCCCCTTCCCTTCCCTGTCCACTCCCCCAGCCCCACCGCTCGTTGCCTCTCACTTTCTGTTGCTCTCTCTCTCTCAAATAAAATCTTTAAAAAAAAAAAAAATTTTTTTAAGTTATGAAAAATACTCTCTAAAGTGTTGATTTAGATAGTGTTAGATAACAGGTAACCTTTCTTACATACTATTTAATTTTTAAGAAGCATATATTATAATCAGTAAAAATAAAGGTATTTCCATTTTGGCAAGAATAGTAAGGAAGGATAAAGTGTTATTTATTGTTTGTCTAGGCAAAAAGGTATTAACAAGGGGGAGAAATTTCTTAAGTTTCAAATAAGTTTTAGTGCAGAAAGGCTTAACTTTGATTTATACACGTAATACCATGTATAACAGCTTGATGAGTTGGTAGTATTTATACTATTAGCATTTTAAAACTGAGGGTGATACTGAATGTTAATGAGTGAACACGCTCTTCATTTTGTTCTCTCATTTTTAAGTTCTTTTGGCATTTACGTTTGAAACCTTTATCATTATATTAGTTTTCCAGCTCACTTTTGCATTTAATAAGATATAGACAGTTAACATGATTTGCGACTGCACAGATTTTGACATATAAAATACATCTTACTGCAAAATTAAGTAAAATAAATGATGTTTAATTTTAGAGCTATCCTGCAGAATTCCTGGACTGAAGTCATGGATTTAATATTGAAACCCCGTTCTGGAGGTATGAATAAAATTCATGTTAATGAAAGAAATAGAATATTTTGTTAAGTATTTGTGGAATTGCTTTGAATAAAAAGTATGTGTGCATACTGGGGGTGGTTATTTCAGAATTTTCAAGATTGTTTTTATAATAAAATAAAAGGATAGTTCATTTTTTCACGAATTCTGTATATATATGTGAGATTTATAACTTATATCCTGTTTTCAGCAGTTTAGCTCATCTAATTTATTCATTCATAAATGAATACATGTATTTCCTTTTCCCTGTGCTCTGCTAAATCTCTGAACATTCAGGAATGCAGACACATTTCACTTGTGGTTAATTTTTAAGCATAGCGTGACAGAATGTAAAAACTGGGCCAAAAAATGTTGAGGATTTTTAGTTTAAAGAGTTTGTCAAGAACTTCCCAGAAAGTACCTCTACATTCATACTGTATGAAAAAAAGATTTAAGTGCTACTGTACTAGGGCGCCTGGGTGGCTCAGTCAGTTAAGGGTCTGACTCTTGATTTCAGCGCAGTCTTGATCTCAGGGTCGTGAGTTTGAGCCCCACTTTGGGTTCTGTGCTGGGCATAGTGCCTCTTAAAAAAAAAACAAAAACAAAACAAAACCTGTACAAATTATCAAAACAGGTATGCCCTTTGTGTAATCGTTTCCAAATTAAAAGAGATAAAGTTGTCTCATTTTAAGGAGAGTGGCCTCTTAAATTTGCCCACCCAGTAGAGAAGGAGAAGGAAGAAAGGCCTACCTGGGTTTTGTCTTGTGACTCAGCCGTTATCATGGAACAGTAATGGTGTTTAAATCCTGGGGTGGCGGAAGGTGGACAGAGCCTGCTGGTTCAGTGCGCTCTGCCTGTCCTGCCTTGTCACGTTCTGGTGGCTGTTTTCAGGTGAGCAGAAGCTGTTCAGAGTACCTGAAGCACAGAGAGCCTTTTCTAATTTTGTGTCCTCTCAGCAGCACATTAAGTTACAGAAATCTGCCTGTCAATAATTTATTTTAATCACAGCTTTTCTTCCCCCCAGCCGAAAAGGGCTACTTGGTTAAGTGCAGAGAAGAGTGGGCGAAGACCAAAGACCCAGCCGCTGCCCTCAGAAAACTTCCTGTCAAAAGGTGTGTGGAAGGGCAGCTGCTTCGAGGACTTTCAAAATATGGAATGAAGAATATAGTCTCTGCGTTTGGCATAGTGAGTCCTATTTGTGAAGTCAGGCGAATGACTTTTGAGGTGGCTTAATGCTTTTTAAATTTTTTCTTTAAATATTTTACTAAATTTTGAGAGAGCAGAAGGTAAATAAGGATCCTTTGGTGATCTCTGAGTGGCAGGTGACCAGAGTGATCCTTGTTTGTGCCCTGAACGATGATGGGGGTGGAGGGTGGGTGCAGGAAATGTTGGCAGTACCTGTTAACGTTGAGGGCATGAGAAGAGCATTGAAATGGAAGATATTATCCACAAGGAAATTTAAATTAACCATCTTGGTACTTCAGAAATTCACAGACCATGTTAGAGTTCATTTCTTGGTCATTCTCCAGCATCAGCCCTGTGACCTACCTAAGTAAGAGGCTGCACGAGGAGTGGTCTAAATGATCACATTTTAGTTTGGTTTCTTCGTGGTGGTTCAGCAGTGGGTCCCATCTTGGCACGCATGGCTTGTGCTAGCATTCGGATACCTGTAACCCAGAAGAGACCAAAGTTTAACTCTTCACCTTCAGTCTTTTCTACTCTTCCCCAGGGAAACAAAACAGCTTTTTTGCTGCATTAAATTAGTTGTCCGTTCAGTCCTTCAGGTTTTCTCCTTCCATGGAATTAATCAGGAAGGAAGCATGGTCTGCTCTGTAAGTGACGTGTCAGTTTCTGCAGTCGGAGCGCTGTGTCTTTGAATCAGGGTATAGGGTCTCCCGGAGTTGCCTTCATCGCATGAATGCCTGGCAGCTGCTGAAGTCGGAGCGACTGAGCACTCGTAGGCACAGGGGCTCTGTCCCTCACACTGGTTGCTGTGCGTCACCCACTGTTTCTATCCATTCAGCGTATGAGCTGCTTATCCTAGGGTCACCACTAAACAAATGAGATGTCTTGGAAAGTACAGTACTTCTAATACTCAGAATGTGTATTTTTTTTTTCCTTGCCCGTTTTTTTCTTCCTTCCAGATACCAAGAAATAATCGCCTGATGTATATTCATAGCTATCAAAGCTATGTGTGGAATAACATGGTAAGCAAGAGAATAGAAGAGTATGGACTGAAGCCTGTTCCAGGGGACCTTGTTCTCAAAGGAGGTAAAAAGGCAGATATCCTCATTCCATCCAACTAGGCTTAGCTGTTTGTGCTTAAAATGCAGCCTGGCCACTAAAGAGAGAGAGATGTCTGGTAAAGTTGAAATGGAAAGACGTTGTAAACTCAGATTGAACAGTTTGGACCTGTGTCTTTAATGAAAATATATATCCAGTTAGGGATGCCTGGGTGGCTCAGTCCATTAAGTGTCTGCCCTTGGCTCAGGTCATGATCCTGCAGTCCTGGGATCGAGCCCTGCATCGGGCTCCCGGCTCAGTGGGGAGTCCCTCTTCCTCTCCCTCTGCCTGCCATTCCCCCTGCTTGTGCTCTCTGTCTCTCTCTCTGTCAAAGGAGTAATCTCCAATTTGAATAAGTACCTAACTCTCTCTGGGTCTCTGGGCTATTTCTCAGCTAGAATAAGATTTGGACTCAGTGTTGCCTTAAATCTTTTTCCAAACTGTAATCTGGGTCTTGCAATTACTCCTCTCTACTTCTGGACATACCTTGGCCTCTCAGCTGTTGTCTGCCAGTTTCAAAGAGTTTCTTTAAGTCAACACTCAGCTAGAGCCCGCTTTACATACGGGCCATGATATAACAGATATTTAGTGCATACCCTGTGCCCGCAGCATTCATAAGACACACAGATGATCCCCTCTGATGCCAATCCCTCTCACCACGGGCCAGGCCTTGTGCTAAGCCCTTTGTCTGCATTTTCTGGTTTAAAGTTCATAGTATTCTGTGAAGTATTCTCTCTGTTCTTCAGACGAGGTTCACAGGGTTCCATGGCTGGTTAAAGAAAGAAAAGCAGGGGCGCCTGGGTGGCTCAGTGGGTTAAAGCCTCTGCTTTTGGCTTGGGTCATGATCTCAGGGTCCTGGGATTGAGCCCCGCATCAGGCTGTCTGCTCAACAGGGAGCCTGCTTCCCCCACCCTCTCTGCCTACTTGTGATCTCTGTCAAATAAATAAATAAAATCTTAAAAAAAAAAAGAAAGAAAGAAAAGGCAGGGATTCAGAATCAAGGTTTGCCTGTTTCCATAGTCCACTTCCTTCTGGCATACCCACCTGTCCTTCTACTATCTGCAGACATAGCCTGCTCGTCTGCATGTATGCCCTATAGATCCAGGTTTCTGTTGAGAAATGTTGATTATCCTAAATTAATAGTTTTTAACCTCATTTAGTGTTGATTACATCCAGTGTATTTTGATGTCCCATGTGCCATTACATTTCATTCTCTAAATGCAGGTGGATTTTTTAAAATTATTCTCTTAGGGCGCCTGGATGGCTCAGTGGGTTAAGCCGCTGCCTTCAGCTCAGGTCATGATCCCAGAGTCCTGGGATCAAGTCCCGCATCGGGCTCCCTGGGAGCCTGCTTCCCTTCCTCTATCTCTGCCTGCCTCTCTGCCTACTTGTGATCTCTGTAAAATAAATAAATAAAATCTTTAAAAAAAATAAATAAATAAAATAAAATTATTCTCTTAGCAAAATGCATCCATTGATGATAGCATTCTAGATGGTATTTTATAGTGTTGTTTATAAAGGAGCTGATCATTTTTTTTTAATTTTTATTTTTTACAAACATATAATATATTTTTATCCCCAGGGGTACAGGTCTGTGAATCGCCAGGTTTACACACTTCACAGGAACTGATCATTTAAAAAAAAACATTCTAAAAAATTGAGGGTGCAACTGAGAAATAAATTTTTTTTCACTTCCCACTTGTTCTCAGTCCATGATTTTTATTTCTTGGGTAGAGCAGAAAAGACAAAAAGATCCCTAACTTCATTTCTTAAGCTTTGTAGGCCACTCAGCCATGTCAGCTTGCCCTTCTGACTTCTTAGATGTGTATAATTTTAGAAGCTCAGGCTCATGAAAATATTACCTATTTTCACAATTTTTCTCAATTTCTCTTTTTGTGAATTTGCAGCTACAGCCACCTACATCGATGAAGAAGATGTTAATAATTACTCCATCCATGATGTGGTAATGCCCTTGCCAGGTTTTGATGTTATCTACCCAAAGCATAAAAGTAAGTTCCCTGTTTGGGGAAAACAGTTCAAACAAAGTTTGACGTATTTAAACCATTGGCTGTGAAGAGTAGAGAGAGGAGGGAAAAATAATCAGTACTTGAAATAGAATTTTAGAACTTTGATTTCCATCAGACTTGAAAATGTTTCAATTTCAGGCATTTATAAATCATATTTACATATAAAGTCCCCCAGGAAGGGATGTATTGAGATAGATAAATTAATTTTTTTATTTTTAAGAAGTCTCTATACCCAACATGGGGCTCAAACTTACAACCCCAAGATCAAGAATCCCTTGATCTACTGATTACTCCAGCCAGGCCCCCCTGGATAATTAAATTGAGAAACAAAATGGTGGTGGTGGTGGCAGCGGCAATGGGGTAGTTGAAGTAGAGTTGGTATTATTGTTCCTAGTGTTGCTGTTCTTAGTGGCATCATTTAAATTTCTGAAATCCACTAATTCTTATAAAGGATAGGAAGGCTTTGGAAAAGGTCATTGAGAAAGTGAATGGATTGTTCAACTTTACCTTCCTTCAGCCTTTTTTCTTTGACACCATGTAAGTAATACCTGCTTACTGTGTTTTAAAAGTCAATGAGCACAGAAGCTTATGGAGTGAAAAGTGAGCATTCACTACCCTTATTTCCCATTCCCCATAGGCTGTTAGGAATTACTTCCCTTATCTTCATGGATTAGGGTTGGGGGTTGTGGACTGGAACTTTCGTTCTTCAGGGATTCAGAAATTGGAAAAAAGAAGGCAGCTCTGAGCATGGGACCAGCTTGATGGATCTGACCCTGGAAGTTTACCCTTAGCCAGAACTAGTCTGTGGGAGGTTATTTCTTGTAAAAAAAACAACCTTTTCTCTTGGAGCACCTGGGTGGCGCAGCTGATTAGCATCTGGCTCTTGATTGCAGCTCCAATCTTGATCTCAGGGTCGTGAGTTCAGGCCCCACATTGGGCGCCTACTTGAACCAGCAAATGAGAACCATCTTTTCTGTCAAGGGACCAGAATGGTTTTCCTGGTCAGTGTTCTGTTCCTTGAAATTGTACAAGTTAGAGAGTGATTCAATAATAACACCCTTCTTTGATAATGCAGATACTTGAAAAAGTTAGTCATCTGCCACTTCCATGTTGGTTGACACAGTCAAACTGCTGTGCTCCTCATACTTCTGAGGCTGACTTTGCTGAGGGGCAGGAACAGAGACGAGGAGGAGGGAAGGACTGGGGAGACGAGGGAGGGAGCGGGGAGTGGTCTGCCTAGCCTGACGTTGCAGCGAGGCCCTGAGGACACACTGACACTGGGAACTAGTGAGAAGGAAAGCACTTAAGATGCTCAGACCCACACTTGCTCTCTTTCCAAGAAAGAAAAAGTGAGCGTTCTTTTCTTCTTTCTTGTACCTCTCAGGATCAGAATTATGGGCTAATGCCAGTTAAGACATAAATTCAGCACAGCCTTTGACCAGGCCGTTCATGGAAACCTTGTGGCCAGGACAGGGGCTCACAGACTGCATGGGTGGCAGGTCGGGCGCATGGATGGGTAACACACGCGCACGCGGTGTCCAGCTGTGCTCAGTGTAGGGATCCCTATTGTCTCATAGGTGTGTTGTGAGGGAGTCTTTCCTTCACGCTGGTCTACCCAGCGTTTTTTATGAATAACTTGAATCAAGAAACCTGTTTATCATGTTTGCAGATTGTTTTACCCAGAACGGTTAATACTAATTGTATGAAAAATAAGTTTTTTGAAAAGAACTGCAGAAGGTATTGAATAGGGTTTAATGTAAATAATATTCTTGTAAAGGCCTAGTTTGATAGTAGTCTACATAAAGTATCTGGAGTTCTTACTAGCATCAGACTGCTACTCTGAGGCCGATTGTTTTGTGGGGAGTACAGAAATGGCAGAGGAGGGACAGTTGAAGGAACAGGTGTGTGACCTAGAGAAGAAGCAGCTTAAAGGGCCAATACTCGTGAGTACGTGAGTACTCATGAGTATGTGAGGGCAGTGAATCCGCTGTGTTCCAGAGCAGTCAGCGGAAGTTCTAAGAAGACAGATTACAGCCCGGAATAAGGGACTTTCTAACAATTGTGTTTCTCACAAGGAATTGGTGACTAGTAACTGGCCACATGCAAGCAAGGCTGGATGACGGCCTCTCTCGGGTGTTCCCACATCAGGTGTGAGGCTGAGCCCAGATGGTTTTCCCAGGTCTCTTATATATATAATTTATATCTGCCTTCTAGAAAGAGTCTGAGGCCATGTGCGTGGTCTCTTCCAGCTCTGAGCATGTATAAATTGTAGGTTAACAACTCCGGGGGGAATGCTTTTGTAGTTAGCTTAAGAACCTGTGCCCAGATACTGTGGCTGCTCGCAAGAGATAACTTACAAGTTGGTCCAAACTAAGCTGCAGACTCCTAGACGTGGGAGTAAGTCCCTAAATTTCGATTCCAGAGGACAGGCTGGATTATACATTAGAGGGATTTCTGGTTTTGTTAGGACGATCTAACTGAGTGTACACGTTACTCTCTTCATAGTCTAACTGAAGGTAGCTTGCTGGCATGCTGCATTCCAACTAACTTTTTGTATTTTATAGTCAGCGAAGCCTACAGGGAAATGCTCACAGCAGACAATCTGGATATTGACAACATGAGACACAAAATTCGAGATTATTCCTTATCAGGGGCCTACCGAAAGATCATTATTCGTCCTCAGAATGTCAGTTGGTGAGTGACCGTCTGGAATGATACAGAACTAAATTATGTGAGACTGAAAGCTTTTGCATCTCCTGTGTATGTTCCATCATTTACGACCTGGTGTAGAAGTGCTACTTGCTGTTATTACTATTATTATTGCTATTACTTGGGATTTTTCAAATCATCGGGAAACAAATGAGTGAAAGTGTTAAAGTTAACATTTTATTGACCTTGCTAAATTATTGAAGAAATGTGCGGAGAATAAACTTTTCCCTATTAATAAAAAATTGAGATTTGTTGGGGCATCGGGTGGCTCAGTTAGTTAAGCATCCAGCTCGGTTTTAGCTCAGGTCATGATCTCAGGGTGGTGACATTGAGCCTTGCATCTGGCTCCAGAGTGCGCTTGAGGCTCCTCCCCCCCCCCCAAATAAAAAGAAAGAAATCTTTTAAACATTGAGATTTGCTTACCACAGCTATCCCTGAACAAGCTACCTTTATTCAGAATTAGCTGTCAGTTCCAAACACTGATCTGTTTGTTTTAATAACAGTTTAATAACATTTAATAACAGTTTCTAAAGAGAAAAAAGTATATATGTATTAACTCATTTAAAATATTTTAGTACCTAATGTGAACTAAAGCTTTATTTGATAATTTTTAAAATTGGATCTTGAGTTAGTTGTCCATTGACAGAAAGTTCTCTTTCCTCTCTCCATCTCCTTCTCCCTTCCTGTCTTCCCTCCTCTTCCTGGGTTGTGGGGTAAGGTTGGCAGGGTTGGACTTGATCCTCCCCACTCCAGAGAACAGTTCCTCGTGAGTAACCACAGTGTTAGTAGTGAAAACCACTCTGGAGAAAACATAAATGCCATTATTAATTCATTTCGCATCTGTGCAAAGTGAAGTTTACTACCTATCAGTTACATATAAAAAGAATTTCTGTCCCAAGGAAATATATTGTATTTCTTTTTTTTTTTTTTTTTTACAGAGGCTGGCATCCTTTGTCACCTTACCATATAGTGATGTAAAGGCAGTACTCATGAAAGATCTGGTCCTATCCTGTTACCGAATAGTTCCACCCAGAATTACTTCCAGCAGGCCTATGTGTTTTTCTTTCTAAGCAAATGGCAATGAGCAGCTTAATAACCGTTTATGGCAGTGCACATTCACACTTCTCTTCCTTTCTGTGTTTTGAAGGGAAGTCGTTGCGTACGATGATCCTAAAATCCCACTCTTCAACACAGATGTGGACAACCTGGAAGGGAAACCACCACCAGTGTTTGCTTCTGGTAAGTTTACTCAGCCGTCAGTTCTGTGTCAATTGTGAAATGTTTTCTTGATCCAAAACATAAAGAAAAAACTGTTGGGGGCACCTAGGTGATTCAGTAGGTTAAGCATCTGCCTTTGGTTCAGGTCATGATCGCAGTGTCCTGGGTTCGAGCCCCACATCGGGCTCCCTGCTCAGTGGGGAGTCTACTTCTCCCTCGGCCTGCCCCTCCCCTTGTTTATACTCACTCTTTCTCTCTCTCTGTCAAATAAAATCTTTAAAAAACAAAACAAAAACTCTTGGGGTGCCTGGGGTGGCTCAGTCAGTTAAGTGTCTGCCTTCGGCTCGGGTCATGATCCCAGGGTCCAGGGATCGAGCCCTGAGTTGGTCTCCCTGCTCGGCTGGGAATCTGCTCCTCCCTCTGCCTGCTGCTAACCGTCCTTGTGCTCTGTCTCTGTCTGTCTCTCTCAAATAAATGAATAAAGCCTTTGAAAAGAAAGAAAAAAAAAAAAACTCTTACAATCACCACCACCTTCCACCAGCTCAGTGACTTCTATTTTGTGTTTTGTCATCTTAGTTTCATGGTTATACCTTAATAATTAAAATGGTAGATTTTGCTGAGAATGAAGGAACATTACAGAAGGTTGTGGTGTTAGGTGATCGAATATTTCCTCCACCGCCTCCCCACGTCCCCCCAAGTTAACACAGGTGAGTCAAAGTCCAGGAACGGAGTCTAACACGTGAAATTTGCCTTGTCATCGTCCAAGTTTTCCCACCATTCCTTTGTCTGTTTCCACCCTATTGCTTTTGTGTCGCCTGCCCTTTTTATGAAGGTTCCAGGTAGAATCACCATAGGATTCAGCTGGATCCCATACTGCCAGGTCTCACTTCCACGTTTCATTCTCTGAGGCCCCACGGGAAGTAGCGCCTGAGGAAAGGAGTGAGGTGGTTTTCTTTCTGTACAGACGCTAGGACTCACCCCGGTCTGTCTGCCGCTTCCTGCCTTTTCTGACTGTTCTTTTCTCTCTTGCCTGGCAGAAGGCAAATACAGAGCTCTGAAGATGGATTTTTCTCTCCCTCCCTCTACCTACGCTACCATGGCCATTCGCGAAGTGCTAAAAATGGATACCAGCATCAAGAACCAGACCCAGCTGAACACCACCTGGCTCCGCTGAGTCCTTTCCCCCAGGGTTAGAAGACGCACGAGTGTTCGCCGGCTCCCTGTTCCCTTTTCTCTTAGTACAGACCCATAGGAGAACTTTAGATCTTTGTAGTTAAAGATTATTTGTATTTTTTCAGGTTTTTATTAGCTTAATTTGCAGTATTTGTACACATACACAAATCCTGAGGATCCTAATTCTAGCTCAGAGGATATAAATTGATCAGAATATATTTCAGGTGCTTAAATCATAGTAAAATGTCAGCTTTCCTGGCTTTATAATAATTTCAAAAGGACTTTGGTTTAAAGTGCAGTTTTAGGTTTTTGCTACACTCTTAATGGACAACATGAACTTTTAACGTATCCATGAATGGAGTACTCAGTGATGCATTTTAAGAGAAAAGGCAACAAATCTTGACTATGAATAAGTAGCACCCCGCCCCCCAGCTATTACTACAAGTACAGTACTCGTGCTTATTGAAATGATGATAAAACATCGCCAGGTCTGTAGACACACACGTGACTGTGTCATCATCTCACTCCTGCACCAGGTTGAGGCAAGTGCTGAGAGATCTTTCCGTTGCTATAGCTTTGCGTTTATTTTCTCATCACCTTGTGGAAGGTTGGGTTGATAGGGCTTTTTTTTCCTCAAGGTAAACACATGCAGCGATTTTTATTAGTCAAGGTCTGATTTTTACTCCAGGTGCCTTTTATGTTCAGAACTCCTTCCACTGGACCGGTTATTTGCCCCAAAATAAGTGACAGCAGAGAAGAAAACTTTAAACCTTCACAAGGGCTCCTCCAATCAGCAGCATCGGCCTCTGTCACCTGCCGCATAGGTGTTTGCGTTTCTGGCATTGTGTGAAACTTGTCTCTGGCGTGAGAGGCTACACGGGCCTTGCCAAGGGTGTGTGTGACGTCAGTGCACCGATTTTTATTTTCTACCATTTCTAGAACAGAGTATAATAAATATTTTTTAAAACTCCTTTCTACTAGTTATATGTTAATCAAATAAATTCTCTAAAACCGAGCGCATATGAGAACCTTGGCCCAGACTGAGGGCAAGGAACGAAGTGAATGAGGGGTCCTCAGAGATGGTGTCCACACAAAGAGGTGTCCTGCGCGGGTGTGAGATGTCACGAGGATACCCTAGTTGCATGTCAGGCTCTATGGTGGTTGGACCAGTTAGACTGAATTCAGGGTTATTCTTCCCGTAGCATCCTTCACTTGCTTCCCAGCACGCTTTCTGGAGAGAGGAACGGAGAAGAGCTTTCCTACCAGGAACATCCCCCCATGGCGGTGTGGGTGACGTGTCCCGTGTCTGGCAGTGGAAGACTGAGAACTGGTTTTCAACCCTTGTGTATTAGTGGCGTCCATCACACTGCAGAGGTGAGAAAGGATGAGAGATCTCATGGGAAAGAACCCTCTCAGCTGGCTAGTTTCTATAGAATCTTCTGGCCTACAAAAGCCCAATTTGTTAAATGTATGTTGGACTGTTGGTGCTTTGCAGCGCTAGCAAGTTACTTTCCTTCGTCAGACTGATGAGTGGAAAAGGACTCATGCAGGGGACCTAACTGCCTAATGCAGGTGCCTCCAGTAGTTCTGCATTTATAAATTTACGTTACTAGGGGGAAAAGGCTAAACTTAGAAACATGGTCTTCATCCGGGGAATACTTACAGCCCTGTGGCATGAGTTCGTTTGCCTGCTGCATTAGCCCCTGCCAGCTTGTGCATTTCCTCGTAAACACCACTGGGAAAGAGAGGATTCAAGGCTGAGTCTTCGCGCCGCCTTGAGACTCGGGGACCGCCCATCTAACCCCGGGACTTGCCGGCTTGGAATAAATCATTGCCTTAGCATCGACGTCAGGACGTTTTGTTGCTGTTCACAAAGGGGACACATTTCTGTGAGCCTCGTCCTCCATGTACATATACCTTCTGTTCTCAGTTTTTGCCTAACAGAAATCATAAAAGACCCTTATTTTTTATGATATAAACTCAGCACTGTTAATTAAGAAGCTAAATAATCACACGCATATTATCACCTGTTTCTGTTCATGGTTTCATGTTGCAGAGAGTAACCAGACAGCCTCTAATTACACTAATAAAAGAATACTTCCGACTTGAGTCCAGCCAAAAACTTAGCACCCGCAGTAGCACACATACTTAAAACTTGACCAGCTGTGCCACACAGTGCAAACGAGCACAAGCTGCCATTTTTACCAGGATGCTTTTTGTGGCCAAGCTTGCACTAACAAAGTAAAGATCTCTTTGTATGTGTGTTACACAATAGGGTGTGTGTGTGTATGTGCGTGTGTGTGAGACTTCCAGTCTGTACGGATGTGTGTGTGTGCGGTATTCGGAGGCAGAGACAGTGCTCTGGCGCTGCCACCGTGAGGAAGTGACAGCACAGCGGACGAGCTCCAAGCTGTGAGGGTCCGGGTTCTGTCCCCCACAAGCTGAAGGGTGTGGCTACAGAGCCAAGGATTACAGCACGGTTCTGTCTGATCAGGGAAATCTGCCTTCCTGATTTATAGGGCCATATTCCTATAGGCTAAAACATCTCAGTTTTGGATCATGAATTGAAAAATTGAAGGAAAAAGTATGGATGTTGCCTTATGGGGAAGGAAAGAGAGCAAGTGTGTGTAGACACACCCACACACCCCTACACATACATAGATAGGCTAACTTTTACATGACTTTAAATAAGACCCCCTACTCTAAGTCAGGGCTTTCCAAACTTGAATGTGCGTGGGAACCCCCTGGCAGTCTTGTACACAGTGGGTGTACTTCGGGAACTGCGAGTGGAGTCGGAAATACTTTGCAGTTCTAACAAACTTCCGGAGGGTCCTGTGTTGCTAGTCTGCACACCGCACTTGGGGAAGCAAGGCTCCAGACACAGTGGCCAGTGCAGCAGCCACCAGCCACGGGTGGTTAACTTAATTTAACTAAAAAAAGTTTTAAGGTGTTATTATTTATTCCACAGAGAGATAGACCAAGAGCATAAGCAGGGGGAGCAGCAGGCGAAGGGCGAGGGAGAAGCAGATGCCCCGCCGAGCAGGGAGCCCATTGCGGGTCTCGATGCCAGGACCCTGGGATCATGACCTGAGCTGAAGGCAGATGTTTAACTGACTGAGCCTCCCAGGTGCTCTCCCCACCAAATTTTTTTAAGTTAAATCAAATGTATAATGGAGCTTTTCAGCTACCCACAGTTGTACTGCTCCATTGCCATGTATGGGTGGTGGTGGCTGTCCGGAATGGCACCACTCTAGATGTCACACACCAATCACCTGAGCTACACAGGAGTCTGTCGACCAGGTGTGACACCCAGTGGTCCTAATGACTAAGGGCACATTGTACATGTTCAACATGTGCAAGTAGGATGACCTTGCAATTAGATCCAGAGCTCATATTGATGATTTAGGAGTCCCTCTTGAAATAAATCATCTTAAGAGTATTCCTTAAACTTGCTTCCATTTTCTGGTCTTCTCTGGGACCACCTATGGTCCTGTTTTCCTTCTCTCTGTCCTTGCTTTGATCTGGATACCTCCTCCAAAGATTTAGTCAACCCTGTCTTGGGAAAATCATCCCCTCAAAAGTTGTAACTGCTTTAAATAAAAATGTTCCTTCTTGGGGCACCTGGGTGGTTCAGTTGGTTAAGCTTCTGCCTTCAGCTCAGGTCATGATCCCAGGGTCCTGGGATCAAGCCCTGCATTGGGCTCCCTGCTCAGCGGATGAGTCTGCGCCCTTTCCCTCTGTGATCCCTCTAGCACTCTCACTCAAATAATATCTTTAAAAAAAAAAATGTTCCTTTGGTGGCGCACACTGTGGCTTCTAATGAAAGCAGCAACTATGAAAAGCACGGATGGCTAGAGTCCATTTGGTTTGGAGGTCTAGCATGAGTACAGGGATCACTTTGTGTGGCAGCTTCTCCACCTGTACTGAAGACTCTGGGAAAGTGACCAGTATGTAAAAGAGATGCAAAGGGACCTATAATGGGAGACGTTATTCAAGACCCTTATCTTCTAATGTATACCTCCTATTGTGTCAGGAGCTCCGAATGTTGCTTTAGAACAATGCCATCCAAGAGAAATATAATATCTGTTCATATGTAATTCAGAATTTTGTAGTAGCTGTATTAAGATAGTAAAAAGATCCATTGATAGATGAAGGGATAAAGACACAATGGACTATTGCTCAGCTATAAAAAAAGATGAGATCTTACCATTTATAACAAATGGGTATTTAGAGGGTATAATGCTAGGGAAATAAATCAGACGAAGACAAATACTGTATGGTTTCACTTATGTGTGGAATCTAAAAAAAAAAACTAAAAGCAGAAACAGACCCATACATTCAGAGAATAAACTGATAGTTGCTGGGGGGAGGGTAGTGGATAGACAATGGGAGGAGGGGTGTGGGAGATAATAGGCTTCAGGTTTTATGGAAGGAATAAGTCATGGGAATAAAAGGCACAGTCTAGGGAGTGTAGTCAATGATACTGTAATAGCATTGTATGGTAACAGATGGGAGCTACACTAATGAGCACAGCATAAGGTATAGACTTGTCGGAATACTATGTTGTATGCTGGAAGCTAATGTAACATTGTGTGTCATCTATACTTCCGTTAAAAAAGTAAAAAGGGGCACCTGGCTTAGCTGGTAGAGCCTGTGACTCTCAATCTTGGGGTCTTGGGTTCATGCCCTACATTGGGTATAAAGATTACTTAAAAAAAAGTAATAATTTAAAAAGAGACAAGTGAGATTAACTTTGTGTATTTTACTTAAACCAATATATCCCAAATATCACTTCAACATGTAATTAATATTAAAAGCTAAAAACAGGGGTGCCTGGGTGGCTCAGTGGGTTAAGCCTCTGCCTTCGGCTCCGGTCACGATCTCCGGGTCTTGGGATCAAGTCCCGCATGGGGTTCTCTGCTCGGTGGGGAGCCCGCTTCCCCCTCTCTCTCTTGCCTGCCTCTCTGCCTACTTGTGATCTCTCTCTCTGTCAAATGAATAAATAAAATCTTTTAAAAAAATAAAAAAGCTAAAAACAGGGGCACTTTGCTGGCTCAGTCAGTAGAACATGTGACTCTTGATCTCGGGGTTGTGAATTCTAGCCCCACATTTAGGTATAGAGATTATTTAAAAATAAAAATAAAAAAAAAAAGATAATTAAAGCTAAATACATTCTCCCTTTTGTACTGAGTCTTTAACATCCAGTGTGTATTTCATACTTAAAACAGATCTCAACTAGGACCAGCCACATCTCCTGTGCTCAATAGCCACATGGGACCAATGACTACAATATTGGATAGCAAAGTTCTAGAAAGATCCTTCCTTTATTGCATGTCATCAGTATGATGGCAAATTTGTCTTAAGTGTTACAGTTTAATATGTAAAATTGGGAATATGGGAGGAAAGTTAATTAAATATGATTTTGAAAAGCTTATTAGATTATTAAGTTTTATGGAGATTGGAGTAAGTATTTTTGCTATGGGAGCACATAAATATCATTAATAGATTTTGAAATATTTCAGAATGCTTGAAGTTTTCCTTAAGCAGTTTCAATCACACTCTGGAATTTTCTCTCTTTAAATATTGCAGAAGCTAATCCTCAGTGCAACCTCTAGATTATAAATTCCAAATCTATGGAATATAAATTGAGGTTTCAGGGCATGAGAATGAGGATTATGTGACTGATTAGCATAAACCAGAAATTCAGGTTGTGTGGGGGTGGTAAGACAACTGTGGCGGGGCTGAGATTTTTGTCTTACTTGTTTTTCTTTTTCTTTTTTATTTTTTTATTTTATTTTATTTTTTTTTTTAAAGATTTTATTTATTTGTCAGAGAGAGAGAGAGAAAGAGGTCACAAGTAGGCTGAGAGGCAGGCAGAGGCAGAGGGAGAAGCAGGTTCCCTGCCGAGCAAGGAGCCTGATGTGGGACTCGATCCCGGGACGCTGGGATCATGACCTGAGCAGAAGGCAGATGTTTAACCAACTGAGCCACCCAGGCGTCCCTGTTTTTCTTTTTATTAACAGCTTTGTTGCTGGGCCATCTTGGCCTCTTAGAGCAAGGTCTCTGTGCATTAATTAGAAGGAAGTCAGAATGTGAGTATCTTTAAACAGTGAAAATCTTTCAAAATTAGATATAGTCTGTTTTTTTAATTGAAGTGCAGTTGACATACAGTATTAGTTTCAAGTGTAAAATACAGTGCTTCAACATTTATATACATGACAAAGTGATCACCTTGATACACCTACCTACCATCTGTCACAATACAAAGTAGTTACATATTATTAACTATGTTTCCTATGCTGTACATTTTACCCACAGGTCTTACTTATTTAATACCTGGAAGTTTGTACTTTTAATCCTCTTCCCTTATTCTGCCCAAATCCCACAAGATACAGTTTACTTATTTTTAGATTCCACCCCCACCCAGGGGGAAAACATGACGGGGGCTGGGTAGGGGGAGGATCAGGGGAGAAGCAGATCCCTAAAGTTGTTTTTTGTTTTTTGTTTAAGATTTTATTTATTTATTTGACAGAGAGATCACAAGTGGGCAGAGAGGCAGGCAGAGAGAGAGGGGAAAGCAGGCTTCCTGCTGAGCAGAGAGCCCGATGCAGGGCTTGATCCCAGGATCCTGAGATCATGACCTGAGCTGAAGGCAGAGGATTAACCCACTGAGCCACCCAGATGCCCCTAAAGTTTACTTTAAATACAGCACAGCTTATTGGTATCTCTGGCTTTTTTGTAGGAAAACATATGGCATTCATTCCACAAATGTTTATTCCATTCCTGGTATATGGAATGAACTGTGTTGCCATCTTTTTTTTTTTTTTAATTAACATATAATGTTTTATTTGCCCCAGGGGTGCAG